ATTCTCTCTTTTTCTTTTTTCCTCAGCGTCCATAATGAAAAGAGAAATCCAGGATTTGCCGACTTCTGGGAATTATTGGGGCGAGGACCCGGGGGAGTTGTTGTGGGGCGGTTTGACATTTGGAGTCACTGGGGTCATTCAGTCGTAATGAGGCGCTCGCGGTCAGACCAAAGTAAAAAGGGTTTGCCCCGCCGTTCAACTCTCTCCCCGATTCACCGACCACGCCGGATGACAGTTGGATTTGGTGGTAGTCGGACCAATCACACGGCGGCAGATTGATTCATCTCTAATGGAAAGCAATTAACAAGACGGGCCACACGGACAGACCTCGTGTGTGTGTGTCTGTGTGCGCGTCTCTCTGGGTTTCTGCGTGTGTGCACTTGTCTAATTGTAGATTTCCTGTCTGTCAAACGTTACAGATGGCAGAAGCAGACAAACGGCCGACAGAACTTATGTAAACTCATCTCTTTACTTGAAGCACGGATGAAGAGTGTGCCAAGCAGCACCATGAATGAACTCATTATACAGTGTGTGTAGCGTTCTTTTCACATGGCGGATCCTTCTGGGCTCTTTTTGCCCGATTTTTTGGCTACTTGCTGTTGTGCCGAATGCTGTCGAGTGAGGTGGAATATATCAGTTGGCCAGGTACGCTAAGATTTGCATGCTAACAGGTATGAGGTCACCTTCATGAAGTTCAAAGCAGTATAATTGATTTTGTTTGGAGGAGCGGAACAACAACATGATATTATTGTTACCATATAACCTTTTTGAGGCTGACATTCTAGCACAGAAATCTTACACATCCAGCAGTGAGAGAGCAACAATATAACAGCATTCTTTCGGAGTCATATTTAAGTCCAATTTCTTGTCTTTATTTACCTGTTGTTTAGTCTTTACCAACTTACTAAAACATCTGGCTCATTAGCAGTTAAATGTTCGGTTATGTTCACCTGCTACTCAACAACCAGCCTCTGGAGAAAAGGGAAACATTTGGGGACTTGGGGCCAATATCTTGCCTGAGACTTCTGCTCTTTGTGTCCGTCATTGTTTTGTGGTCTGATTAGAAGCTTGAGATGTGAGAATGTAGTTGAAGTTCAAACAGATCAAACAGGCTAATATCTTCATATAAATACAAATAAATGAATCAATGAATAATAATTAAAAGCCGCTGGCTTGCAAGATTACACTTTGCCCATTATGTTCTGTGTCTTTTGCTTTCCACATGGACTCCCAAAGACACTCCATGTGATTGTCCAATACTACTCAGGCTTCAAATGGAAATCAAGATTGTTTTTGTGTTATATCCACACAAAATGCCTGTTTCAATGTGTCTATACAAGACACCTTAAAGCAACATAAATCCTTAGTGATTTTAGAACCTCTTACATGATTATAAAAGTGTACAACCTGCAATCATCATTGCCTTCCATTGGTCTTTAGTGCATCCACATAGACAATGTCACCCGGAACCTAAACCTAAAAAGCCAATTTAGGTTGTTTTTTAAAGGCAAATCCGAATGAATGAACTTATTATTCGCATTTTTCAACTCATGTCTTCAAATCCCCTTTTTGTAGGTAGCATTCCTTTAAACGTGTCTTGATCAAATCCCGGTGGGCCAGCAGCGCTTAACCCCGACTGACAAATGGCGGTCGACCTGTGTTTAGTGAAGCCGTCAGTGGCTTTGCCTTCACTTATCGCCCCTGTGATGAAGCACATGTGCGTGACTGCTCTGCCCCCCCCCCCCCCCCCAACAAAACCTTACCCAACCTTTCAAGAGGTTTACAGAATTGATTTAAGAAAAAAAGATAACTCCCTAAATGCTGCGAAAAAAAGAAAAGGCCCTCCCAAAGCCTTGGCATGAATCAAAGTCACGGCCCGTTCCCCGCCAGGCTAGAACAATGTTCCGATGTCACAATGTTACTGTTCCAATCAGCACCTGTACACACACACACACACACACACACACCTTCCTGAGCTCCTCCCTGACTTCCACGCTCACTCACACGCGATGAGCAAATGAGCCGTCAGTCATGCAGAAACGGAAACTGGTGTCGAAAGTAAAAGTGCGTGAAGCTGCTGTTAGTTCTCACTGACGTTGATATTTGCGACAACAACAAAAATGAATTTCAAACAATATGCTGGTTAACGAGTGGCATTTGTTCATCTCCTCCAAGAAAGTGGAGAAAAGAACAGTTGAATGTCCTTGAATAGAACTGACGATGATGAGTGAGTCATCCATCTGTCTCTTATCTTAAAACTCTTCTCCTGCAGCACAAACTAATGATGGACACGGCGTTTAGAAGTGACCACAAATGCTACAGTTACGTTTCATGAACTGAAATCACACTGTGAAAGTTTACGGTTCGGGATTGGGAGCAGCACAAGGAGGCCATGCAGGAGAAAAAGCACACCCTGCTTTGTGGTCTATTTCACTCTAAACTGGACATCATTTAATAAATGAACATCCAGCCGTGTTGAAGAAGACGATTGAGAGCGTTAAAATCTTAAGGCACCGCCACATTTTGCTTCTTTTTCAGATCAAGAGGTGACCACCAGTTGAATATATTTATTTAGAGCCTAACATTACATTTGTGCTTCTGCCGATTACATTTGCACCTATAAAATCATAAAAGTGGTGTTCATTGGGTGAGTATTACCTTGCTGAAAATGTATTTACCAGAGGTTATTTTTTGCAATATTTCACAAATGTAATGAAAACCACAAGTCGAGGAAGTCGCAATATTGTTTTCTTAAAGATGGTTCTGCTTTTATGAGACAAGGCAGCATTTACCACATCTTTGCTTTAAACAATGCAAAGTATCTACTTCAGCAATAATAATTAAATTTAGGGTTTTGAGATTACTTTATATGCAGAAAGAATTAACTTTTCTTTAAAACAATGGCATAATTAGTATTTTTCCTTTAATAAAACCTAGTTCAATTATAGACTTACAGAGAGGCTAACAAAGGTCTCTGTTTATGGTTTGACCTCTGACCTACTGACCACACACACACACACACACACACCCACAAAGACGCATGTGAAATAAAACGATCTGCTAGTTTGGTCTAATAACTGCAGGCAGCTATTAAGGCGGCTGCAATAGATTTGATAGTTCTGCTCCACACACCAGCAATACTGAATAAAGCAAGAACACTGATTAATTGAGGGGAGGACAACTGGAGTGTCAAGACTCAGTAAGTGTCTTTATATTCATCTGGCCTAATAAAACACATCATATTGGACTTTGTAGTTAATCATTTATGATAATATGCGTATATTTTAATTTAAATGAAAATGTGTGACAATTGACTGCTTCCAATGTTCATTAAAAGACTAATTGTGACTTTGTCTTTTTGTAGAAGCAATAATGAATATTACTATTGAATGATGCATATGCTTTACTAGTGTAAACATGGCAAATAATACATGGTTTGAATTTATTACTGTGCCAAAACATCAATAGGTTATGACAATATCATAGAAGTCCAAATATATAAGATCATTATGTCCAAGCTCATCATGCAATCGCCCTCAGGGAGGTTTTCTCACATATTAAGAAATGCATTTTACCAAAATTAGCAGCAACTGCGTCCGTACTTTGTGTTTACAAACTAGAAGATTTGAGGTCATTTGAGCCGCTGTCTGCGGTTCTGAAGCAGAATCCCCAAAACACATCGCAACCACGGCAGACGTCCTGATGAGAGAAGACCTCAGACACACACATGAACTGCTGTGTGTTTACTAGATCTATGAGTCAAGAGAGGAGAGAGTAACAACCATCATCATCCAGCATTGACCGGGGGCATCTTCACTGGACAATCAGGGACCTTATTTACGTCTATAATAATTGATAATATTGATAGTATAAAAATAAAAAGAATAATATCAACAATGATTATTACAATGCCATAATGGCTGCGTTCCGCAGGAACAATTGTGTCGTTCAGTATGCTTGTTAATTAGGGGGGATTAATGAGTTCCAACACAGGGCTCGTCTCCTCCTGGTGGCTTGATAGGAAAGCGCACCTTCAATTATAATTTCATTCAAGCACTCCAGACTGCGTCACCAGAGGAAATACAAATAGTGTGTGATTAGGCTTGTCTTTCCTTTTAGTTCAGCAAATGAATGCTCTTTGAGGAAGTCTCTCCACACACACACACACTCACACACACACACACACACACACACACACACACACACACACACACACACACACACGATAGGCCCAAAAGCCTGTCCAAAAGAGGATAAGACAAACTGTAATATGAGTTACAATTTTTGTGAGCTAGGTTACATTGTGCTGTTTTTAAAAAAAGCATTTGCGTCGTGACGCTGATTTCACATTGGCATCCAGGTGATCATTTCTTTAGTTTGATCTCTGCAGGTGTAGCTCTGTTGAAACCTGCATGTACATGGTGCATAAGAACTGCATGCATATGAAAGATAATATGAATACTAATAACAAACGATTATTATCAAGGTTTGTTTCAGCATTGTTTAAACCAACAAGCTGCACATAGCAGATAATGAATGATTTTAACAATTATAATGATAATGAAATATCCCCTCAATAAAAACACCCTCCAATATCACTAACGAATCAAAGAAATAAATAATGATGATAACCACAACAACGACGACAACAACACACTGTTTATTTGGAACTTGAAGAGTTTATTGATATTTTAAAACGTTTAACTCTTGCAGTATCATGTTAGTGAGATAGCCCTTTCATTTTTTCCTTAAAAATAAGTCAACCACTATTTTTCCTCAACTTTAAATGCTCCCGTTCACGAGTCGGACGCCGACAGGCGTATCGCACCGAGGCAGGGAGGAGGAGAGGGAAGAGGTGGGTGGAGGAGGAGGAGGAGGAGGAGGTGATGGTGGGAGGGTGGGTTGACACCCTTTGAAACAAACCTGCCCACTGTAACGAAGCCAGGACACAACCCGATGGCGACGGGCCGTGATGCTGCGCCGCGTCCATAAGTTCACTTGTTGGAGTTGTTGGACATCGGACTGGGGAGCCGCGCGCACGCACGCTGCTGCACGGCTGCACACTTGACTACTTCTATCAAGCTGGTGTTCGTGGAATATCATTCTAGCGCTAAAAATATATGTTTTCTTGTGGCTATAAATGTAGTCTTTCCATTCAATTCACGGACAAACACGTTTGGATTCGTACGCCGCTGTAAATATGTTGGATACATTATAAAGCCTGCTATTTTTTTTCCAAGCACAGCGGACATAAGAAGGTATTTAATCACTTTCTGATTCAACAGAATTTATTCTACTTTTACTTCCACACGCCTCCATCCTATACCTATATATTCGAACTTAAAATAATATGTGCGTTTAATATTACTACAGTACTCCCCTGCAGGATCCCCATCATGGATGCTAAACTGGCTGCAATGAACCCATCAAATGCCAAAGCCGTGCTGCTGGCGTGCGTGACTCTGCTGTTCTCCCTCCACCTGTGGCGCCGGCTCCGGGGCCGGCGGTCGAGCTCCGGCCCGCCCGGTCCGCTCGCATGGCCGTTCGTCGGCAACGCGCCGCAAATGGGCAACGCGCCGCACCTGTATTTTGCGCGCATGGCGAAGAAATACGGCAACGTGTTCCAGATCAAACTGGGCGCTCGGACCGTGGTGGTGCTGAACGGGGACTCCATCAAGCAGGCGCTGGTGAAGCAGGGACTTGAATTCGCCGGCAGACCGGACTTCACGTCCTTCAAGTACATCTCCGGCGGAGACAGCCTCGCGTTCGGCACCGCCACGGACTGGTGGAAGATGCACCGCAGGGTGGCCCAGTCCACCGTGCGCATGTTCTCCACGGGCAACGCCAGGACCAAAAAGGCGTTTGAGCACCACGTCCTCTGCGAGGTCAAGGAGCTGCTGCAGCTGTTTGTGCACAAGACGAAGGAGCACCAGTACTTCCAGCCCATGACGAACCTCGTGGTGTCCACGGCCAACATCATGAGCGCGGTGTGCTTCGGGAAACGGTACTCCAATGACGACGAGGAGTTTCTGCAGGTGGTGGGCAGGAACGATCAATTCACCAAGACGGTGGGGGCCGGGAGCATCGTGGACGTGATGCCCTGGCTCCAGTACTTCCCCAACCCCATCAAAACCATGTTTGAGGACTTCAAGCAGCTCAACTTGGAGTTTACCGCGTTCATTCGAGATAAAGTGGTGGAGCACAGAAAAATGTTTCAGTCGAGCGCCATCGGAGACATGACGGATGCCTTCATCCAGGCGATGGACCAACTGAGAGACAAATCGGGGAACCCGTCAAGGAAGGACTACGTGACTCCCACAATAGGGGACATATTTGGAGCGAGTCAAGACACCCTGTCCACTGCACTGCAGTGGATCATCCTCTTGCTTGTCAAGTAAGTCAAGTCAAACTTTTACGCTCAACTGTTAGATGCACACAAATGATGATGGCGACCACCATCAGGTAATCAATCATCTCGCCGCTGAAGCCAGAGTTTCAGGGTCTTGGTGAAATTTGACAATACGTGAAAATATCATGAAATAATGTAGTTTAGGCTTTGCCTTGATGCAGCCTTGGCCTGTCAACAAATGCCTGTACATTTCTACCACAGTAGAATAAATTAAGACCTTTAGACCACTGACCTCCATCACACCGGCTCCTTCGGCCCTTCAGGCTCCTGCTTCTCTCTCTGACTCTCCTAAAGAATCTTCTGATATCCACCTGGTCAATTAAATGGATGAAATACCGGTATTATAGCATTATGAGGGACACTATATTTTTCAATAGTATTGACTAACTATAAACATTCTATAGGGAATGATATTATTGTTTTGAAACCAAAGAGATATTAATGCAAATAATAGATGTCGATAGTTCACACTCTTGTTCACTGGAGACAAACACAATTGCTAGCTAGCTTAGTGTTAGCGTAGCCCACTACAATATTCCCTTTCATTTGCCTCAAGAAAATCTAAATGTAAGCAGGTCACAATCGTTAACAACTACAACCTCTGTAACTAACTGTACTTCTGCAGCTAAAGGCTTGAGGGGCTTGAGCTAAACTCCTGGTTGGCTAACGTAGACGTAAAATGATAGTGCATATAAAATATTAACTATTGACATATAAAATATTAAGTCAAGTCAAGTCATTTCATTTTGTATAGCCCAATATCGCAAATTACAAATTTGCCTCAGAGGGCTTTACAGTCTGTACACATACAACATCCTCTGCCCCGAAACCCACCATCGGCACAGGAAAAACTCCCCAAAAAATGAAAAAAACCCTTACAAGAGGGAAAAAAGGGAAGAAACCTTAGGAACCCATTAACTAAATGAAATATTAGTTAATCATGTTTGTCGTTAACCAGAAACGTTAGTTGGCAGAGTGAGACAGCCAGCGCGGCAGCCTCCCCAGGGTCCTAGTGCCCGGGGATCATATCGTTCAGCATGATGACAGCTTTTTGGATTCTCATCTGAAAGGGGGAGAAAACATACACAACAGAATGCACGCACATATGTACCATGTTAGAGTTATAAATAACTAGTCCATATGAGAAACAATAGTTAAATTTAATGACATTACCAAAATATATATAGATATATTTTAAAGCCAATAATGACAAATTATTTGGAGGGGCTGAAGAGCATTTTAGGGGAGCTAAAGCATCACACCCTTTCATTGTTACTAAAATGTCAGGCAGCTTTCTACAGCTGGTGGCTCACTTATAATATAAAGTGAAGAAAAAAAAAGAAAAAATGTAACCTCTTAATAGGGTTAAATGTACGTCTCCCCCTTAACGCAGGTTCCCCGAGATGCAGGCGCGTCTCCAGCTGGAGGTGGACAAGGTGGTGGACCGCAGCCGGCTGCCTTCCATCGAGGACCAGCAGGATCTGCCTTACGTCATGGCATTCATCTACGAGGTTATGCGCTTCACCAGCTTCGTGCCGCTCACCATCCCCCACTCCACCACCGTGGACACCTCCATCATGGGCTACAGCATCCCCAAGAACACTGTCGTTTTTGTCAACCAGCGGTCCATCAACCACGACCCGGCCCTGTGGGTCCGTCCGGAGACCTTCGACCCCCAGCGCTTCCTGAGCCAGGACGGAGAGCTGAACAAGGACCTGGTCAGCAGCGTGCTCATTTTCTCCCAGGGCAAGCGGCGGTGCATCGGCGAGGAGCTGTCCAAGCTGCAGCTGTTCCTCTTCACCACCCTTTTAGCCCACCAGTGTCACATCACCGTGGACCCGGCCAGGCCGGTCAAACTGGACTTCAACTATGGCCTGACTCTGAAACCGCACGCGTATTCCATAGCAGTGACTCTGCGTGATGATCTGAGGCTGCTGGCGGCGGCTACGGGTCAGGCTGTCTCCGAGGAGGTGACGAAGCCCGCCACTCAATAAGCTCACAGACAGAAAAAAAAATACTGTAATAATAAAATGAACATTTTTGCTGTGAAATCAACAGAAACTATATCAACAGAAAGCTTTTCAATGTGGGCGCCATTTTAGACATGTTGTTCTCAACGATGGTTGGTACGTCAAACGAGATGTGTTTTGAGATTTGAACGGTTGAAAGGTTGAACAACCAAAAAAAAAGAAATTTATTAAACAAAAGTAATATGTCGGACTCGCAACCGAAGTAGTGATTCTGTGTGAAACAGGCAAATAAGCTCAGCCCTTTAGTCCGATGTCTACTAACATAAAATGGCATTAGTATATATAGTGTAATAGCTTAGTTACTCAGGAATAAGGCCTATGAAATAAGTCTAATTGTATTTTAAATGGACGACTTTTCATGGAAAACATTCTCAAAGGCAAAGTAGCCACCAGACCTACTTGTATTTGAGAACTGCTGTCTAAGTATGAAACGACTAATATCCCATTACTGTTATTTAGCCATGCCTTTCTTTTTGTTACAATAATGTTTTTTGTGTAAGTTTAAATGTTGTAGAATGCTGCTATTTAAAAAACCCTTTTAACTCATTGTATTTCCATTCTCAAGATGCCAGTAACCCCGTGCCTTCTTCTTCTTCTTCTTCTTTTTATTTACAGACATATTCCTGCTGTCAGGTATGGACACTGGGAGTGTATATTGAATTTATTTTTATAGATGTAAACGCTGCTTCAGCACGAGAGACTAATGCACTGAGAGTGAGGACTTGCATTTGATGGCCTCCCGCCGAAGAGTATTGGAATAATGTAATACAGATGCATTTTTGAAAATATAATCTTAGTGAGATTAATGGCATAGTTCATTGTGTAAGATACAGTGTGTAATGAATTGCATCAGTTGTGTTTCCCTTTTTTCTTAATAAACCAAAATTATACACTGTTTATGTCCACCTACTTTTATTTCAATGTTTTACTGTACAATGAGTGAGTGAGTTTGTTAAAGTACAGCGCTTGAAAAGGGCAAAAAACCTCTGTTTACTTCCTTACTTAACTACTACATGTGCCTACCAAAGTGGTGCATCTTGGTCAAAAATACTGCGAGAACTACTACAAAATTTAGTAGGAGGGGCTGTCGAGCCGACTTGCCACGTTGAAGCTTTAGAACGACATATAAAAACTACATTTAGGACTTTAAATGTGTGTCCGGCATGTTTGGTTCCCTTTTCAAGCATTTCAAGCCCCCCCCCTAAAATGCTTGCTGTTGTTTTTCATGGTAAAGAATACGTCGCCCCGGCAACGGCCTTTGACGAAACAAAGAACTTTGTCAAATTTGGCCGAATTGCAACTGTGAAGTGTTACAAGCACATCATTGGCTAACGGGACGTTAGTCTGATTTACCTACTAAGAGAAACAAGCCAAAGCATAGAGACATTCACTTCCTGTCACTGGTAGGTCGCACTAACACTGGGATTAAATATTTGCTTGTAGATGTCTTAAGGCCCGGAGTCCCATCAAACATGTGACATTTATAAAAGATCTCACTCACTTATTTCTGTTTATTTGTTCCACGGCGACCGATCGGAATCCGCAGAGCGGCCACGTTACCGTCCTTCAACGAATCCTCACAACATTCACCGTGAACCGTGATGTTTCAGAGGCGTGTCTGACAAAATTTGAGAGGGATCTGATTGATCTGTGAGGAGGAGGATGTGCACAATCTATGACTTCCTGTTGCCTAACCTAACAGGGGTGCTAGCGAGACAATTTCCCATTCCGCAACCCGACAACCATCGCATACTGCAATTTTCACATAATGATCCTTGCATGCCAAATGTCTCGGCCCTGCTAGTGTTCCCATCACCTTTTTTCCGCAAAGCACAATAATCATAATAATACACATTAGAACTACAACAGGTTGGCGATTGGGACCCTAAATCTCATCATATAGTGGTTCCAGTATTAGGAGGGAATGTATGTGTTTAGGTGGACATAGACGGCGATATTTCACCAGTGAGAGTCCTGCTACTTCATGATGGTTCATTTTCAAAACACATTCAGAGCTTCTTCAACCCACTTTGGCTGCACGTTGTTTTGAACGGTATTGTGCAGTTACGTAATAACCAGACAAGTTAAATATTCGTTGGGTTCAAGGTTCAAGGTAACAGGATCGAGACGTCTGAAATTCACATTGACGCAACTTCGTACTTGACGACACAAAATATGTATAAAGTCCTAACAAAAGTAATAATAACGGTATGTTCGGGTGGGAACAAAAGGAAGTGTTCTGCAGCGGAGCTGTTTTCTCACCCTGCCAGAACATCCTGTTCTCGATCAGCCAGCCAGGCAGCTTTTTAAGTGCGCCACATTAGATGATTACCGATACGTTTCTCTCCTTGCTTGTTTTCTCCCTGTTTTTACAAGTACAACATTTCACCTGGAGGAAAAGAAAAGGAGCGAGGTCATGTGGGGCAGCTTTCCAACAACAACCGGTTTCTTGAGCCTCTCAGATGCTGACAAGTTCATGAGCGACTGCAGCCTCTACCAGCGGGATAATGGCTCCAGTCATGATAGTAGACAATATCCGCCTCCAGGGGGAAGTGCTTTTGTTGTGTTTCCCTGCTTGCATTACAGGAAGCTGCAAGAGGAAGCAAATGTTCCTTGGTTCGAGACAAAAAAAAAAAAAAAGAAAACACGAGTATCTGAGGTATGTGCTGATTAAAAAGATGGCGGGTGAAAAGTCACGTCTTACGCGAGACAGCAGGTGCTGCGGTGGAAACGACACGCACACGATCAGAGTTGTGTAAGAAGCGAGCTCAACGATTGGGAATGAGGGGATACGTGGAGACCGATAGGAGCTCAGGCATGAAGGAACACTTATAGACCAGGTGACTGTCCGTAAAGCCTCAGGGCCCCAAAGGCACCAGGTCCACTGTGGGGCCACTAGCGTTTGGTCATTTGATGAACTGAACCTTTTTCTTTTTTTACACTCACTCACTGTTATCGCGCATTTGAACAAATAATGTGTGCTTTTTAAAAAGTGCGCTTTAGAGGGGCTGAATATTGTTGGACTTGGACAAAGTCGTCTCAACGGTTTTCTATGTGCAAAGGCCAGCGATCAGAGTGGTATCCATCTTCGCGCCTAATTGTGCCAGAAAGCGAATTTGTGAACATCCTGAAATATCATAAAATATATGTCCCTTAAAAAAAACAACACACACCTGACAAAGCAGATAAAACATTACTGCAGGGAAAGTGAGCTGCAGCTTCTGCTCTTTGTCCTCTTGTCTTCCAGGCCGAGCCCGCACAGGCATCAAGATCAGATGCAATCACAGGCGTCTGACGTCGCGTGATGCCCTTGAATAACCATAAAACAGTGGAAAAGGTGAATCCCGCAGCTCTTTCAACTTCTGCTTCTATATGAGGTGCACGGGAGGCTTAAGGAATCAGCAAGGTGAGGTGACATTTCCATGACTGTATGAACAAACAAAGAGCGGCTCTACGTGGCTACGACATGAACGGACTGGTGGCCTGAATCTGATCCGGTACCAAATTCCAGATTTCCCTGGAACAAGAGGCACCGTCTGGGGAGAAAAGCAGGAGAACTCCGCACACACGCTTGAAGTCATGCAGGAGCCTCCTTTTTGAATTTGACTTGTTTATGGATTAAGATCAATGTAGTCATGAGCTGCAATAAAACTAACAAGACACCTTGACTTTGGGATTTCACAGACTTTATTATGACTATTGTAGCATTAATTATTCAGCCTACGACATTGTACAGTATATTCTCTGTCGAGCTTTGAGGAATATTGTGTATATTCTGGCCTTTAAAGAAAATCAGATACATTCGTAGTGCCGGTACAAACGTCTGTAGTGACAAATGGAATCTGTCATTTCTATTTTGATTCAATTACACCCAAAAAACAAACATTAAAAATGAATCCCACTCTAAATCCGACCCCAAAACAAAACAAAAAAGTAAACAAAACTAACCCTCATGCTTTCACTCAATAATTAATCTCTAAAATACATCAATCTTATCACCTTATCAAGTGAAACTTCATAAAAAATGCATAAGACAGTTAAAAAGTAAAACATTTGACATTACATCTGCTCAGATCAGGCCCTATTGTAGTCACATGACCCTTCTTGATCCATTGGTCCAACATTTCAGTTACAGAAAGATGATAAAACCCTAAACTTAGCCACCACTTCCCATTGAAAACTCCCTCAACTTGCTCACCACGAGGTCACTTATTAAAAAAATACATGTAATTTGTTCTTCCGTGTGCTGATGAAGCCTGGTCATCATGTTTGGTCACTTGGTGGATGACACGTAGTGGCCTTAGTGGATCACACTGTAAAACCGGACCAAACCCCTTCACTGAACCGTAAGCAGTATAATTAGCTTCAGCACACGACATATTCTAGGTTAATCGCCGCCTTCTATAAACATTAAAGCATTTCTTGTTCTTCTGACTTCTGCACATTTACACCACGTGGGGGTCTTGCCAGCCTGAGGACCTCTCCGCTTCTGCAGCGTTAGAGAACTTTACAATGAAACAGATGCCCTGATAAAAATGATGAGTTACACTGGAAAAAAACATACATAAGACCAATTTTTTCAAAGGACGACTTTGGAAATCAACAGGTTCAGTAATTCCCAGGACAACAATAGAAACATCCCTGAAAGGTTCCAGTAACTCTGAATTAAAAAGGGGATCTGCCCCAAAACACGTGTGCAGTTGCTTCATATTACCTCTCAGTATGAGTTTCAAATACATCTTTGAATTATGAATTGAATTCTCAACATGATTATCAAGGGACAAATGTAAAGTTCCTTAAAGTCTGATATATTGTCTTTTTGTCAGAGAGTTCCAGGTAAAACCAGTTGACAGATCCGTATCAAAAAGCGTCAGGACAGGGTGGAAGACTGTACCTCGTCTGCATGCTGCATCATTTACCGCCGTCCGTCTACACAGACGTTCCTGTCACGGGAGCTGAACTGCAGCGGATGTAAATAGTGAATGTCCTCAATGGACAGGTGCCAAAGTCTGAGAGAAGGCAGGGTGAAGTGAGCGGGGGGTCGTCCAGTTGTCGCCCCGCTCCGCCGTCGTCTGATGTGCTTTTTTATTATTTGCACTCAAAAAAACACAGGATGGAGCAGCAGGTCCCGTGGCTCAATTCACAGAACGTGACAGGGCTTTGTTGTAGAGGACATCTAGTATCCTTGAGACCCACTGGAGACACTTTCACCATCAGAGCCACAGCTCACACACATCGACTGGCAATATACACATGTAGACTAACAATCACACTGAATACAATTACTATTGGTTTAAGTTATATAGCCACTTCACGGACACAAAAACATGTGAAAACAAATGGTCTCACCCATTTGGTACAACCAGGTGTGAATTATTTCTTTCCCACAACTCACAAGAAAACGTAATTACAATACAAATCAGATTCAGGGACGGTTCTGATTGATAATAGTGTCCCAGCACACCTCCCCCACTCATAGAGTGAATTAACGTGGTGGCCTCTCAATATAGATTGTATCCACACACTCTCTCACACACACGCACACACACACACTCACACTCCAAGCGCTGGGCAGAGTAGTTCCAGCTCCTTCTGTGCCTCTTCATCCTGAGAAAAAGAATGATAATTCAAAATAAAATCAAAAGGTCCACCAGGTGTGTGTGGAACCACCTCGAATCATGAACCATGAATACAACTACACAACAATAGAGCAATCTCGTTAGGACGGGTTTCCAACATGCATTTGAAGAACGTATCCAGAGAAAATTGGTTAAAGAGCGTGAACCTGTTAACAGGTTTATAAGATGATAATAGAACCTACGGATCGCAGTGTGAACGTGAATCAATCACCTGGAGATTGAGACGGACTATAATGAAATTAAGGAACAACGCTCTTCTTTTAAAGCAGTGCTAGACTGGGGGGGTATAATAAAATGGTATTGCACTGTGTATTATATTGCAGGGGGGGAGCTGTGAGTGATGGCTATACATATATAGTAGTGAATGAAGTCTACCTCTTTGGTCACAGTGTTCATCGAGGAAGCGGCTTCACACATCTTCCGAGCCTTTTCCCTGCGGCCCAGATCTTTGTAGCACTGCCAGAGGAGCAAAACAAAACCTGTCATTGCATCGTTGATTCTCAGTGGGGTCCCACTCCGTGAACACGCAACGCAAGATCAACTCTCTGCTACTGACCTTAGCTAGAAAAACATAGTTGTTTTTGGAATATCCCGGCTGGATCTCCTCAACCTGAACACAAAAAAAAGGTTTAATTCAGCTTTTAATGACAGGATGAAGCTTTTGTGAAAACGGATCGTCTGGTCCCTAAAAAGCGGGTACAGGGGAGACCTGGAGGCGAGAGAGGAGCGGAAACACTGTGCGTTTCATAACCAGGGCAGCTCGGGCGAGAACATTCAATTCAATCAAAGCGTGAGGAGTTGGACTCAGTCTCCATTTCTGTGTAACTCTGTTAACACTGAGCGCAAGCATAAATAAGCTTTAAACAAAGCGTGATCGGCCCTTCAAACGGCACCTGAGAGCCCAACCCTTATGAAAACATAAAGACATTGACAACATTGAGCTGCTGTGATCGACCATTTTTTTCCAACTTTCTCAAACCAAAACTCCCGCGTAGTGTTTGTTCAGGTGTGTGGAGATGAGAAATAGGGAAGGATTTGAAGTCCGCTCTGTGTTAAAGGCACCATGACGGCCTTTGGATGTGTGCCGTGTGCACTCGTTACATCACACCCTCTCCATGATGGCGGGCTTTCCAAACCACGTTTTTCCAGTCACATGTTTCACACTGTGACACGGCGACGCTTTGTCCTTAAGCGGACTCCGGAGGAGAGGGACGGCGGAGGAACCGTACCTTCAGGAAATGACTCAGTGCGTCTTGGACTGTTGCACTCGGAGGCTCTCCAAATAAAGTTGCAGCGACTTTCCTCTCAATCCACGACAACTGAGCCACCTGCAGAAGAGTCAGAACACCGCAGAGTCAATAAACTATTGCACGTGAGCGTAACGGTGACATCGCGGCGGTGGGGCGTGTGCTTCGCGCTGCATTTGTGACCCCAACGGTACACTAAAGGGAGGTAGGAGGTCAGGGAAAATACCACCATGTTAATATCAGGGGATTTTATATGACTCTTTGAGACATCACTAATGAGCTGTTTGTCATTTTGCGTGGCAAAGGACGTAAAATATATTGTTTGAATGTTTCAAAATGAAATCAACCGCTTTTCAATTCCACGTCTATTCAAAACCGGGGAGTTCCTCATCGCATCTTCTTTAGGGGTATATATCACCCGTCACAGTAATTCCACGGCCACAGAAGAGGATAATGGCCAGGAGACGCCTCGGTCAGACATGTGACCCTTCATCAGAGCCAGTGTCTGATTGCAGGTGCAGCGTTGCTTTGCCGTCATCGTGGAACCCTTCAAACACAACCGCTGAGTACACACAGTAGATCATCATCGGGAGAAAACAACCCGACGGCGGGACGCGCGTAATCATAACAAATCAGAATCTCAGAATGACACGCATTTATTGTCGGACGAGGCGCGATCGCCATAGCGACAAAACTGCCCGGCGCAGGAAAAAACAGGCGGCGAACAGCAACAGGATGAAAATGTCCGGTACGATCTGATCTGAAGCTAACAATGGCTGGTGTTAACCTCCCGTCGCGCTTTCTGCAAACATCACGCCGGGATGGGGGTGAGGGAAAACCTCAGGGGAAACCTGAACAGTGAAAATGAATGAAGGGAAACCGTGGCTGGGTGTGTGTGTGTGTGTGTGTGTGTGCGCGCAGAGAGACACGTGTGCGCGTCGTGGAGCCTCACGTACAGCGTAGCACCAGCGGCCCAGCAGGTAGTAGGACATGGGGTCCTGAGGCTTCAGCTCGATGGCTTTATCCAGATGATCCTGGGAGGGGTGGGGGGAGACACACACACACACACAAACACACAAACAGAAGATTTGCACTGTTGATTCATGACACGGCTGCTATTTCCCTTGCCTTGTGTTCTGACCTGATCTGTCCTGCTTCACCAACCCACAAGTATTTCACAAACACCACTCACACACGCGATCGCACGGAGTGACAATGCACTCCCGGCTAACCCTAACCCACACGCACACACACGCACACACACTTCTATTTCCTCCTCCCCTCATATCTTCCCTCTCTGGCATTCTCTTTCACCTGTCAAGAGTTTTGCAGGTAGACAGGGTTCTTTTCATGCAAGCCGCTGACAGAAGATAAAATGCTACGTGCCGGCGCTCCACACTCTGCCTCCTATTATGCAACACAACGTCTGCAGGAGGGGCTTACTGGCTTAAGCGATGCCGGTGGCCATTCCCCTCTCCTCGGAGCCCGCAGGAGGAGCAATGTTCAACGTGGAAATGAAAAAGGTACTCGCAGAACAGAAATAGTTTCACCAGGTCGTCACAACACCCTTCAGATCGTGCACAGTTGGAGACACAACATGTGACTTGTACAGAGTACAGGGTGTGTTGAGGCAGCAGCTTACCTTGAAGATGTATCCGTTCTTTATCTTGTTCTGCACCGTTTCATAATCTGCCATTATTCCACACATGATGGCGTACCTGTGGGGGGGGGGGCATGTGTGTTATGACGAGTCTAGTTAGAAGGGCTGGAGAGAACTTCACCCTCCAGTCACGCCACCTTTTCTCTGGGTCACTAAGAATGAGAAGCCGAGACGACTGGAAAGAACCACCAACACTCAACCCTCTGTAGCGAGACTCCTCATTAGGGAAACACCGGCGGCGCTTAGCTGCTTCACCTTGCTCCTTCACACACTAATTAACGCGCCGCCTTGGACCAGTGGGCAGGTGGGAGGGCAAACAAAAGGCCATCTCAGCTCTGGGATCTGTACGTCAGCGTGACGCTGTGGGCTTGGAGAGGAGACGACTGATCAAAGTCTTTTCACGGCGAGGCCGCTTTAATCCTGCTGGTACTCTGTCAAACTCCACCGAGCAACATGAAGAACTTTTCATAGGAAGGATCGGCGGGTACAAAAGGTCGACCCCGGCGGTGCCGTTCGACATGGTGGTGCTGATGGTAGTCGGGAGTTTGGAACTGTGCGTGCATGCTCAGAGGTGTCTGACATCTGGGAATGGATTTTGTTTTGGGGGGGGGCTGGCGGTTTAGAGAGAAGACATGATTTGCTGGCGGGATGCTGTTAACAGGCAGGTGAATTATGGGTAGCCGCAACCAGAAAAAGGTTTATTCTGTTACAGCGGCGTAGGGCCACTGGATGAGTCTGCCGAGTCCTCCAATGAAAACAGACTAATACACTTTGCTTTGTTAGAGCCACGTTGGCTGTGAGTAGAGGTTTCTAGCGAGGCGATGAGAACAGCAGCATAACAGAGGGGAATTTTAATCACAATTGAGCTCCAGCATCGCCCAGGTGAGGGCTGTGGTAGAGATTGCAACACCCAGGCTACCACAACACATACTTTTGGCTTCCCTTTGATTGGCTAGCTCAAACATTATTCAGCATGTAGCAATACTGGCAGTGTTTGTTGAGAAATACGTGCCAATGGCAGATCTGCTCATAATTGCTCTGGCATTCGGCAGTGTTGGCCCAACGCTGCACCTGAACGTACCCTGTTGCCAAAGATCATCATCGGGCCTGCATCTTCTTTATGAATAGTACCCACAAATGTACTTCAAAAGTAGACGTTTTCATCCACACCACGTGGGAGGTCCTTATATTCTAGTCTATATCAATATCTAGAGAAGGGGGTTGGGTGGGGGTTGAGAAGGAGGACTTGCGCAAGGTTAGTTTGTGTTTGTATCACCTGCACAGTGAACCCCCCCCCCCAAAGGTGTCCGCTGTTTGGGCGGAAACAGCAGATTTGATTTCAGCCTTCCAATCCAAACAAAGAGACCTCATTCAGGAGACAGAGGGAGGGGAGTGGGGGGGGGGGGCAGGACTCCAGGCCCAAACATGTATAGAAGCGGGAGCGGGGACTCGAGGAAGTCACGGAGAGCCTGCGTGAGGACGCGCTGCGCCCTCGACGGAGTGAGCCGGTACTGTGTTTCCTTTGCTGCCGTTTGTAGCTGCGTTTTCATTTCACAATGAGGGACCGGGTGCCCGCGGGGTTTTCCACGGCTACCGCTGCCACGGTGACGCCGACGGGTGTCCGCGGCACACAGAGGCACGTGTTTGAAATTAAAGTTGTCTTTGTGGAGGTCACCCCCCCCCCCCCCCCGACTGGCAGTGCCACAGGCTCCGGGCTTAATCCGCGGGCCTTTGTACCCTCAGAGAGGCCCCATAACCGGGGATTTACGTGGGCTGAATTCACACAGGGGGGATCACTGCAAAACGCACCTATAAACAAAGCCGGCGATGCAAGAATGCAAACCACCAGATTAAACAAATACTTCACACTCACTGTCACGAAAGCACCCAGTGTGACCCCACGCAAGCACACCGTGTGCGCCCCCCCCCCGTGCACGTTCCCTGGAACTAAAACCCATCGATCAAGCCGTATCCCCCTTGTGTGACCGCGCACTTGGATCCTTTTGTGGTTAGGGCGCTCTATGCCGCACACGGCAGCAACAGTTTACGGGATTTTGCCTTTTAAAAATGAAAAACTGCATGAAATAGGAATCAGGGAATGAGGAGGTGACAGCGTGGACAGCTGTGCAGATGCCCGCTGAGCGCCTGCATTCTACCCCTCCCGGGAAAGAGTAGAGATTTTGGGGCATGACGGGGTGGGAAAGTATGCGGAGCATCTTGTGAAGTGACAGCTGTCACAAGAACGTCACACTCGTCATCACTTCGACTCGCAGAATGAGCTTCGCAGTCATTGTTTTCTTCGCAGGTGATTACGAAAGCTATAGAGAATGCGGACGGGGCCCCGATTTCAAAATTTTGCGGTGTTGTTGTTTTCACACTGCGACATGCAACACTTTCTGAGGGTAATCTCACACACGCTTCCCGTAACACTGAGTTGGAGGTGACAGTCCAAGCAAAGTGACCAGGTGCAGTTTTTAGCCGGTGTTTGACTCGCACAGTTGGTCTCCACCACTTTGACTCCACCTCTCCAACCATCCAACCCTTCCAACAAGGGCCAGCAGACACTTTGGAGCCGTTGCTCCACAGTTGAATCACAAACAAATTAAATTACATTACAGGTCATTTAGCTGACGCTTTTATCCAAAGCGACTTGCATTGCATTTTTAACCTGTGGCTTTTACATTTTTGCCCACGGAGCAAATGGCAATGCAAGCTAAAGAAAACCAGCTTGAACATCATCCAACCTACAAAAAAAAAAAAGTATAAAAGAAATCAATGTTATGCAACGACATCCAACATGACGCAACGACATAACCGAGAGCAGCCTTTTCAAAATACTCTCATTACTCCCAAATGTCATCATTTGCTCTGTATCTGCATGCAGTCATGGGCCATAGGCAGTAATTAAGCACTGATTGAAGATGTGTAAAACCGGTTCATCGCCACAGAGTTTCTGTGTCATCAAAGTGGAAGTTTTGGAATAAAGCTTTTGTCAAAGCATCCAGTTAAACCTGCCTATCGAAGACTTCAGCCAGATTGAGGGAACGACTAAGAATAAGTCCCAGTTTTTGGTTATTGAGACCCATAATGAAATGAACATATTACAAAACAAATCGCCTTAGTTACAGTGCATCATTCATGTCAGGAAAAAACCAAACAGTGTTTATTCCTGGGTTTCCCCTTCCATTACAACGGGGGAACAGACTGGCAGCTCACCTAAGCATCACCTGCCAGAGCGTGACAAGCTAGGCGGCATCCAGGAAAGCAGGTGACAAGTTTTCTCACGGCATCAGCGCACTAAGTAAACAGTTACCTCAGACGTAAACTTCCTTGCAACACCGCCTGGCACCGGCCCCGGCCTCCTCCCTCTGCTGCAGCGCCTCTGCTCGCCTGCCTTGCCCCGTCCGTTGAGCTCGGGCCGCATTAGTGGATGTGGGATTAAGCATTAAGCTTTTCCAAAGCTGCTCTTAATTAACTAAACAAACTCTGCATGCCATTTCCCTCGACGGCCCGAGTGCTGAGGTGTGTGCATGAGCTAATGCTAACTATTCCCTTAAGGAACAGAGCAAACGCTCGGTTTTTTTCCATGTGAAAACTGTGCAGAAAGTAAACACATGATCTCCAGCACACACGACACCACTTCAGGGAATGGAACCAACGGTACCAAAGACACACACACTGTGGGAAACTGTTGCTTTTAATGCGGACGATCAGCACGCAGCGCGCGGTTTGCCGTATGGGCTCAGCGCTTGATGTTCAACACAAGAAGAGGTCCCTCCGCGGTTTGCATTCAATGTGTGCTTTGCCGTTTGTTGTGAGACCCCAGCGGGTGCAGGCTGATCCCGGAGCTGCATCTGGCGCAGTTGACGTCTGATTATTGCAGCCTTGGTCTCCATGTGTGATCGGCAGTCAAGTTTTGACACAAGCAGCGTTTCAGGTGAGGAATGCACCACCGGGCCGGCACAAACACAGGCAGGATCTGTGCCACCGGGCCCACTCTTCACAACTAATTAAAAAGCAGGGGGATTTTACGCTGCGTCACAAAGCAAGCGGGGAGGCACCCGGGGGCAGAAGAGGCTCAACCGACTTCCTTTGTCTGAGAATCACCTGGGGCGGCAAAATTCCCATCGACTCAAAGAGAGAAGTTAGCGAATTTAACACGTCCACTAGCATCAGTGAGAGGCAGCAGATATGTCTTTTATATATATTTTTTTATGTCTGTCAAACGAGTCAGGCAATAAACCACAGAAACAGACACAGGGTGAGCTGGACACAAATACACAATGTCTCGGCACCAAGCCACCAACAGCAAGACACAAAATATGCAACAGCCACGGCAAGGACACTGGCTGCAACTAACGATTATTTTAATAATCAATTACTCTGGCAATTATTTTGGGGATTTATGGAATAAAAATCATTCATTTTCAACCCTTTATTCTAAAACGGAACTGACAGAGTGCAAAACTTCAGAAAGTGCACAAACAGGTTGCTCCTTGAACATAAGAACAAAACAGCAGAACTTGTTCTGTACACCACAGACGCACACTCGCTGACAGACTCACTGCAGCCCACACACACCCACAGGTTCCCTGCTAAGATGACCAAATGCTATGAAATGATATTAAAATATATTTGTCAACACTAACTGATGTGGGACACAGAATATATGTCAACAGATATATAAAACGGCAAGTCTTGCTAAGTGCTGTCCTGCTGTTATTAAGGAGCTAACGCTAGCTTGTCAGGCTGCATACACAGCATCAAACATCAAACTGCATTCGGATCTTGGGATGATCTGCGGGGAGGAGATGGTTGGTGGCAAAGCTGATTTTATCTCACAAACGTGCATCACCGCAACCACGGTCTCATTCATGCATTAGACTAAATAATCCCTTTTCTTTGCAGACTCCGGTCTATTGTGGTTTAATCCAAAAGATAGGAGGACACAACTCACATCCGATCCACTTCTATCTGATCCCCGTGTGTTCCTTTGGATTCATTCAAGTCAAACCTGCTTAAGTTTCTTAAAGAAATGCTTGAGTGAACATCCACTCAACACCGAGGAACGGCCGCTCGAGGCCCGACGGGTCACCTAAGAGCACGTCGCCGCTCATTGGGGGAAAGCACCTGTGCCTCACGGCGCCTCACTGAAACAGTTTAACTGGATTAGAACGCAACCGTGGGTGATTCACAGCATCGGGGCTCGGTGGCGGCGTGTCACGTGCCGCCAAACTGCACCTTAAAGTATCTGCGATTGAGTTGCTTTTGCCGTGTGCAGCTCCCGCTTTTGAACGTGGAAGGAAGGAAACGAAGCAAAACCTACCACTGATGGCTTTCGGCACACGCAGGGTCCAGGCCCACCACCTCCTCGCCAACCTTCTTCCCTGAGAGCAAAGAGGGAGAGAACAGACAATGACGCTCCGCTGGAATGCGATCTCAACACACTCACTTCACGCAGCAAAACAAGACAGCGTGGTGCAGCGCAGACAAAGGGGAGCGCTGACAGGATGCACATACCGACGGAAACATCACAGGGAACAGCGACAAACTACAAACAGCAGGGAGATGAAACGCAATCCAAAAGGAGAGCGATACGCTCTGAGACCTCGATCACTCAGTGGAAAGCGCCTCATTCGAGCCGCGCTAATAACATCGTAATGAATGTTAAATATGGTGCGGCGTTGCTTTAAATAGCCCTGTCGAGACAAAATGTCAGATGCATTCACACGTTGTCTTTTCAGGAAGCACCCGGCCGGCTCTGATTCGAGGAACATAGATGAGGAAGGTTTATTGAGAAACATGTCAGTCCAGTTCGATGTTTAGTAGAATCAGAATCAGAAAGCCCTCGTGTCCTTGTACATCAGTCAGGAAAGTGTCCTCTTTGTTGAGTGCACAGTCTATTTACAGTCTATTTACAGAGTGGAACACACAAACTTAGGTATAGCAGGGTGGATCGGATGTCACATTGTTTGAGAAGGCTCTAAAGAAAACTTACCTACGTAAGGAAGTTACAACAACAATTTTATTTTGAGCCGTGGATGATGAAGGTTTGATCAATTGTAATTGTAAAATCTGAATAGATATTCAGATCTTTTAATCCTTAAAATCTGGCACTTCCAAACATGAAAGAAGAGTAAATCTGACATGCATTTGTTTGCTGCCCGTGCAAAGAAATTTTGAGATGAGTAAGTATGGATGAACGTACGTAAGCATGCACTTGCATATACAAGTGTATGGATTTAAATTGTTTATATGCAGGTGCAAGTGTACGTCTATATCAGGCGGTCACCTCAAATTTTGTCGAGTGAAGTCAATGCAGAACTGCCTTAAACCTGCATTTTCTCTACCAAACTCAAAAAACATGCGTTTATGGTCTCAATCGCTAGTTTGAAGAATTATTTAATCACGCATGTTGTATATTCATGTGTGTAAAATAGACCAAAGGTTTATAGTAAATGTCTTTGCATGGTTCTAGTATTTGCACAGTAAGTAATGCACAGCATGTCAACTGGAAGATTTGGTTGTATTATTTTTGTGCATGTTCTTTTCTGTCGCACTGGCCTTTTTCCACCACGACAACCAGACACCTCATTACAAAGGACACAAATTGGAAATATAAACATAATGTGGCTTTTGTTGACGGAGAGAGTGCCCTCGACTCGCCCATTGGACTCTCAGTCAGAACCAATACTCAGTGAGCAGCAAGTGAGGCTTAACGCAGGTGTTATGCTCGTTATTACAGAAGGGATTTCTGTGTAATACAATCCAGCGAGTGTGACTTATTAGCACCAACGTGCGCTAACGAAGGCTGAGGTGGACGTTGATCCTGTCTATTCCATGTTGTTTTGAAGCCGTTCCCGAGGATTCGTTGTGGGTCAACGACTGAAGCTCTAGCATCTCCCAACCGGAGTGCGTCGTGTGGCAAACGAGGAACGACACAATGAAGGTTTAGTCCATTACCAGTTTCCGCCGTGGTCTTCTTCTCCTCCAGCGTGGCGCTGATGTCGTGAACGTCACAGTAAGCCCGGATTAGCCGCCAAAGAAACGTGGAGTTCTGTCCAAACTGCACAAGTATAAGAGTTAAGGCACGCTTTTCTGTTTTCACTGAGCTACTGTGAGTGTACAGAGGGGTCCGCTCACCTCCGCTCTCTGCTCCAGGAGGAGGTCCAGACATTCCCGTTTGTCCGAATCGGAGCCCTGGTGCAGCCTGTCAATCCTCTCGAGGAGGACACACAGCTTGTTCGCAGGTTGTTGTTCTTCGTCCTCGTCCTCCTCCTCCGCATCGCTTTGCTCTTCTTCCTCAGAGTCCGTCAGCGCGGTCATGTACCTGAAAGCACAGAGAACAACGGGGCTTTCAGTGACCTCTGGCCAGCTCGTGCAGTTATACTGGAGGTGGAATCGAAGGGGGCGAACTGACCAGTGGTTTGTGACACCAGGCAAGAGATCACAGGAGGAAGCAATAATCCCGGAAGATCTAAAGCCATCTTCAACGTGAGAAGTGGAATGAAAACACAGCTGAGAAGCTTTTTTTCATATCAATCAAAGCATTTTACCAGCCGTTTTCCGCCAGGTCCTGATTTAAACAGAAGCTGCCTGTTTACACACAGAAAATGGTGGGCGGCCTTGTTTACATAAGTGGTTCATTTAATTGTTTATAAAATTTTGGCTGTTGAGAAAATCTTGACGTCTTAGCGTTGACACCTTAATGAAACCTTAAGGCTTTTTTACAAAAAGGAACACGCACAGGGAGACCCGTTTGTGGAGGTGAGGCACGCAACACTTGCGTTAGGGGTTTTATGGCGCCGTTTCAACTCCCGTAAGCGTGTACAAACAGTATGGAGGGCTGTATTAAAAAAGGCACAGGTAAAAAGACATGGACAAGGGGGGAAAATGTGACGAGCCTCTATCAATGTGTTGGCAGCAGCTGCGTGTGCGTCAATGGTGGTTATTATGGGAGTATTTCGGGCTGCGTGCCACGGTTCTGGAGGGATGTGTCAGAGCGGGCCGCAGACAGAACCAGCGAGCCCCCCCAAGGCTGCTCCCCGACTCCAAAGACTCCAAGTGCTGTGATTACAGCAGTAACGTGAGGGCATTTGAGTCAAGAAAGGAGCTGTCAAGTCCAACAAAGTCAACAAATCCGACGAGGCCGCGACGGTACGCTGGGATGAAAGAATCCTGTCCTGCTTAACAGTGATAATATGTCAGGGTTGTGTTGTTTGACGAGAAATAAATGGGTTTTAAAGCTTATTTATTAATCACGCTTACGTAAACAATGGCTCGAACATCTCGTTTCCTCTTCCCCCGTAAGAGTCACTGCCATAGGCTGCATGTAAGAAGTGGGCGGAGTCATCGTGGCGTCACCCGCTGGTTTGTGGACTTCAGTATTCTTGGAATACAGCCGTCGCCATCTTGACCCCTTTGCAACCGCTGGATAGACGTCACCATGTCCGATTGATAAATAGTTTAATAACTTCCCATTGAAGAGGACGGAAGGAGTCGATCACTCTGACCAGTCTGCAGAATGTCAGTTTGAAGTCATTGAGCGCAGGTTTAAAGTCATTGAGCTTTTGCTTAATTGCAGCCACAAGTAATCATTACTAAAGATACGAGGCAGAGCAACAGCAGCGCAAGTAGATACGAGTCCAAATGTTTGGGATCGGACGTTGGTAATGTCAGTGGAACAGCAAGTGTCCAAACATGAAGTACAGGCAGCTGGTCGTACCAGACAAAACGTACGACTGTTGGACTGAGCAAGTGTGCCTTGATTTGCTCATGAATGAAAGTTTTCATTTCCATCCATCCATCCATTGTCAAACCGCTTATCCTGCACACAGGGTCGCGGGGGGGCTGGAGTAAGTTTTCATTTGTAAAGGAAAAAAAAGTTCTGTGTTTTATGAAGACAGATGGAACTAGAACGAATGCCTCGGGCTGCAGTTTACATCCACATCAATCCAAAATGTCGTCGCTTCCTCACTAGAAACTTGTCATAACGAGCGTATGGCTTTTTGAAATATGGTTCTATCATACTTCACATCCAGAAATCTAGACTTCACAATGTCTTTACTTTAAACTCTGTGTTTAGATCTTTATTTTGAAATGGTGAGCCAAAGCCGTTCTGCAATCCCCTCTCTGCACGAACCCCTGAGTAAACCCAAAAACCTGCAGGCCCCGACCATTTATTGCCCAACACACCCAGGCTTAAAAATAAAAGAAAAATCTGTGTACTTTTGTTTTTACTGACTGTTGCGGTCTCCTTTATTTTTTTGTCTACGTGCCTCACGGCAGACTGGTCTCGTGTTTATCTGCAGCAAAGTGAGTCGCATTACTGGACGTGTGTCATTCATTCACTCCCTAATTCATTCATCCTTTTGTCCTCCTATTCATTCAGCAGTTCAGTTTCCCTGTCGCCCTGCAGTTATTTACTCAGTGGCGCTGGAGAGACTGAATGTTCAGCGCATTCCTGTCACGGCGTTCCACGAATTACTATTTGCATTACTGTGTGTGCGCATGTAGTGTACAGATGTTGGTGCAGGAAACATCATTGCCCTCGCAGTGTCACTGTCAGTCTAAATATTGTCATCAGCATTTAAGCACTAAGTACAGCGAGCCCCTTCTATGACTCACACATGAATAGAAATGTCATTTGTTTCTGACAAGTTCCGTTTGGAAGGCGACAGAAAAACTAAAAAAAGAAAATATTAAATAAAAATGTGGAACCACAGAAGACACGAGCTGATGCTGATGGTCAACACTTCCTGTCTCATAAGTGAGCGTGGTCGTTGCAGCCCTAAGGTCACCATGTGACCCATGAACCCACGCCGTGTACCGCTCGGTGGAGCAGGAGCCTGTGAAAAGTGAATTGCAGGCTGCGTGCTGACTGGAGGAGCACACAGACCCCGAGGGGCCGTGACGGGATCTCTCGATGGCGCTCAGCTTAGCTCTGTGGTTACACAGCTCAAAACAAACCAGAGTTACCATCCCAACATCAGCGGGGCCTTTGGAGCACGCAGCCCAAGCGCATTCAGCCCGTGCAGCGCCGGTGACAAGCCCAATGAAAAGCCCGTTCTACAACAATGGCTGAGTGGCAGACAGGAAGCTGGGCACAGACTCAGCTGAGAAACAGGGCTGCGCTTCCAAGTGGTGACAACATGTGGGTGTTCACGCTGTTACATTGATTCAATTCTAATCGGAGACACTTAATAGCACTTATGTTTGGATGCTGCCGCACATCTGAAATAGAAAACAGCGAGAGTTTTCTTAAGTACACAACCGCACACAAATGACAATCGGCTGCCAGGAGGCAAAGAAATCTGGAGGCTAGAAAACAGGAGGTGGGACGACACCTCATATAGAGGATACTTCCAAGCACTGCAGGTCTCTGCCAAGGGTGTCGGCTATAATGTTTTATTTAATGAATATAAACCATGTGTTTTTGCATGCATCTCTTACTTATCTCATGAACAGATGCAGCTGTCTTATACAGTCTCAAGGTTTATCCATCGCCTACACTGAAAAATACACCTTTTTTTTCAGGGAACATCATTAAATCTCTCACAAACAATTGGTAGAATGGAGCCTTTAGCCGGTAAAGCACACGAGAGCTGTGGGTGGTCAGAGCCGAAGTCGACAGAAGCGGGTCGGAGACGGGCCGCAGTGACGCGTCAGGCAGCTTAACATTGTACGCAATTGAAAATGCATGTTTGTTTGGCGAGAAGACGTGAATGTCTCGAATGCGGACAGCTGCGGGGCGGCGCGTACCGTCCCGTTTACAGGCAGGTTGGACTAAAGCTTTTAATCACAAAGCAGACAATGAGCTCCCTTTTCTCCGTCTAAACAGCGGCGCGCGGGTTGATCGGGCTTGCCCGTCATTAAACAAAAATAAAGTTGCTTGAATCAACAGCTATCCAATCTCATGAATGCTATTTATTTGGAAGGAGGATAGAGGGGGGGGGGGCAGTGGTAATGTCCTTGAGCTACAGCGACATAATGTGCATAACCTCAGTGAGAACCGTTCAAGACGTTACAAGTTCCTACAAGAGACTTGGAGACGAGGCCTCCGACAGCTTGGCGAACAGACGAGGTGATTGATGGGTCTCCTCACCTTCAGAGGGCCGCTGTGACACACGCGGAGACAACAGAGCAAACAGCTGGAACATTAAACCCCTTCGGCCGGCATGCTTCTCCCCCTTTGGCTCTATGATTTGGACATTACGGCATTTTTCCCAGGAGTGACGTTGTTGCGCTGGAGCTGCACGGCGCTTGTCAAACCATTTGGTAACACTGGTCCCCCTTTAAATAGGCGCAGAGGGCAGCGGATCTATAAAAAGTTATAGATTGAAATCATTAAGCCTAAAAAAAATTAGCCATTTTGAGGAGCATATAAACCTCAAATCCTCGTGGTCTGCAGCACAGCTTGCTGTAGGAATGTATATTTATTCATAAATGTCACATGTCACTTGAGTTTTTGCAGGCAGCTAAAGCTACAGCAGAGATGTTTGCCCTTACATCTTGCACCGAGTGATAAAAGGCACTAATCTCGCTAATCTTGAATGTATTCTCAAGGCTTTAGATATCAACAAACATGCAATAACTATTACATAACCCTTAGCTTCGCTTATGGGGATCTTGTGCGGAGATACGGTTCTGCCAAGCCGGCCGAGCAGACGCGGAGAGCCCTTCAAATGGATGTGGGGATTAGGGGTGTACTGTGGGGGGGGGGCTAGAGCTTCTTCCCCGCACCATTCCCAGTAATCAGCCCGCACGCTGTAAAAAAACAGAGGGGCCAGACAGGCCAGAGTGCGTAATGAGATTTATTTCAGGGCTGTAATCAGGAGCATTTCATGCCGCCCGACGTCTGTCACTCAAAACCTGTGAAGCACATCTGCTGGAGGCCCGTCCTCCACTTCCACCCTCTGCTCCGGCCAACGAGCGGGCGGAGAGCAACGCAATTAGAGGTGGGTTGACCCAAAATGTTTATCCGTGGTGAAAGGAGGCTCCTACGGTGTGATTACCTGCGTGTGAGCCGCCTCACTTCCAAGTGCCCCCAAAAAAATAGCTTTTCAAATTGTCTACGTTTATTGGCGTGTGCATCCGGTCGCATTTGAAGTGCAGAGCTTCTTTCCTGGTAAAAAGAGACACAAAAACACGCACAACAGTCGCTAATTACCCAGGGTGCACTGGTGCACTGGATGTTCAGCTGGCCTTCTTTGTGTTGTTACAGTTGTAAAGAAATGCGCTCCAAGCCAACGGATTAGTCGTTGCAAGGGCAGTAACAGACACGGGGAGGAGCCGTGCAGTCCCGATCTCCCCGTGCACACCTCTAATCTGTGTGGTTGGGATGCGGGAGCAGCCCAGTGTCAGGAAGTCTCCTTGGCACTTCACTTCCTCCGCTTCCTACACAGAGGCCGCAAAGGTCAAATCGGTCAATCAATCCAGGGGGGGGCACCTCGCGATTTCGCGGTCTTGGAGGTGTGGCGGATTGTCACGATCGGGCTCTTTGGGCCATGACAGGATTGGAGTTGCACTGTTTAAAGAGGTTTAACATGTTCTTTATTAAACATAAGACAACGGAAAATCAACAAACATTACAGATGGGATGTGAACATCAGTAGTGTAGGATGTGCATGCGGGTGGAGCGTACATGATGGGTGTTGTCAAGGGCATCTAACTAAAAGGAAACAGAGTCAACACGGCGGCTGCCCTAACACACCACCGGACGTCTGCTGGAGAGAGAGGGGAGAATGAATCCCGCGCTCTCTGTCCACTGCCGTGGAGCGAGGAGTGGGAAATTTCAAACGTGGAAAAAAAAAAAAAAACCCCGCTTGGTAACGCTTTGGGGACGAGCGCTCGGAATTAGGGGAATTTTCAAAATAAAACAAATCCCCCGAAAAAAATTTATTTATTCTTTCTGTGGTGCGGGCCGGTACCAAATGGCCCACGGACCGGTACTGGTCCGCGGCCCGGGGGTTGGGGAACTCTGCACTAGAGCACTGGCGTGATCAGCGCCATTTAACTGCTGGTGTTTGTTTTTATGAGATCAGGTGATTCAAAATGATTCAAAAGAAACACATCTGTTGTTTATGTTACCCTCAGATGGCACAAGTTCAAGGCATTTGGGCGTGGATGGAGGTGGATGATTGGGCACGTAGTGGATGATTGGTCTGCTGTTTTCTGCATGCACCTCAGGCAGATGCACATACTGTCAGAACTATAATTTAGCACATGAAACGAGCAGAGTAGGCCCGGTGAACGAGGACGGCCAGGAGCTTTTGGGATTCAGTTATGTGTAGCTCATCTATCTTCATCTACTGGAGTCGTTTACACTAAGAAACGACAAGAAGGCCGAAGGCTGAATGAAAAGCATTGCACACAGTTGTATTGATCACAACAGACACAGTTATTGAGAAATCATTGAGAAATCCCTTAAACCAACTGCTGCTCATCTGTTACACAACAAGTCATGAACAGCAGCAGAGTAATGTGAACAGTGGAGTCTGCTGGACAAACAGGGTATTGATGACCGATTCAGACTTATTACATGCACAGTTTCTACCAGGGATGCACCAATCTGTTCTCTTCCTTCCCGATACCACGTCGATACCGATAGCTGGGCTTTGGGTATTGATCTAATACTGGCCTTTGATTAATAAGCAGCACTGTGCGGAAGAGAAGAGGGTCGTTCTTTGAGTGAACAGTGATATCATGACTCACCCAAACCTTTAACTATCTTTTAACCACCTAAGACTAAATTAAAAATACATACATACTAATAACTCATTTGATCTCAATCAAACAAATTGAATTCCAGCACACAGGAAATCAAAATGTGCTAATCTTTTCAATGCAGCAAAAGAATTAGTCAACATGTAATAAAATTCCACAATATAAGGTATAAAGTATGTAAACATAGAAGTAAATAGATCGCCCCATTGATTATCCTGCTATTTAGTCGGTTGGGCCGATGTCAAGACAGCTAGTTTCACCACGATGACGTGAAGAGCTGTATTCATCTCATATCAGAAACCATACATAACGTAATCGGGGTCCGACCACCGCCGATGACTCACTCATTTCCCCTCAGCACAGCTCGGAACAAAATAATCCTCAAGAAACACCACAGTGTTTTATTTACGCAAACATGCCGCCATGCTGCCCAAATCCACTTCCTTGATTCTTTACCATGTTGTTTGAGAGAGAGAGTATCTGTACTCATTCAAATTAGGTCACTGCCTAAGAATAAGCACACAGAACAAGCTTGAGTTATGAACAACAATGACTCAAATGATTCCGCTGACATCGGTTGACAAGACCGGATGATGATGACAGGACAGAATTATGTTCGCACGTTTAGAAAATTACACAAGATATTTTGTGTGAAAGATTCTCTGTGATATAAATTTGTTCGATGTGATTGGCTGGCGACCAGTCTAAGGTGTACCCGTCGCTCACCTGAAGTTAGCTGGGACTGACTCCAGGCGAGCCTGTATGGAGGATAAGCGGTTTGAAGATAGATGGATGGATAAATATGTTCTACAGATGTTCTTTATTTTATTTATGTAAAGCACCCAAATTCCCCCGTGTCAAAAATGCTTTTCTTTGGGTGCAGCAAAACGGAAACACCACCCTGTTCTAACTAGTGATTGGAGAGATTCTGTGAGTCATATAATCCAGGAAGGTTTCTGTGGAGCATTGTTAGAAACAAATGATGGGATTGTGCAAACCTCGGCCCTGTTCTCTTAACAGAACAAAACTGTGAACATTGTTTCTAGATTACCTTCAGCGGCTTTAACCCACAGAAAGACCGTACAACACATTATGGATTCCCAAAAAGAAGTAGATGGTGCATGTGTCGTCAGGGGGGAAAATGTCTACTCATCCATAACAGTGTGTGATTTGTGTACAAACCCATAGACGGTTTGATGGAGATGCTGGATTTTGAGCAGAGGGTTTACAGGCAGATTAATGATTGTCGTTGGGGGCAACAATCCAAAGTTCTGGCTGTGATCAAAGTATCAAGTATAAGACTTTAAAATCCTATACTTGTATATCTGTAATTATAGTGGAGGTTTCAGCCAAGACATGGGCCTTGCTCAGAAAGGGGCAATATAATAAAACACATTTTTGATCTAGAATATGTTGCAACCACGGCGGGTTGAGACAATTTGAAAGAATCTAATGGGATCACGGTGAGGTATGCGAGGACATTGAGAAAGTGCACTCACCCTCCCTCACTCTCTGCTTCCTCTGAGCTTCGCGCGCCGGCTCTGGCCGCGGCGATGGCGCCGGCAGCCCTTTTCCGTCGCGTTGGCGTCGTCCTGTGGAGGGGGCTGGCTCGGCGCGCCTCGTCGCGTCCCCTCAGCTCCTCCCTGACGTGCTCCTGCAGCGTCGGCAGGGCGTTCTTCAGCGACTTCATCTCATCCTTCAGCTCGGACACACACTGGAGGAGGGCCTCGAGGCGCTGCAGCACCTCGGCCTGACCCCCGGGCAGACCTGGGCCATTCGCCATCATCACACCGGCGGCCTGTGCATTAGCGGGGTTGAGGTAGTCCCACGGCCCCGAGCCTCTTCGCCTCGACCTAAAGCCCTGGTAAAACGCCACGGCCAAACCGATGCCGACTCCAGCCAACGCTCCCAGGACCAGCACCTTGTCGGCCTGAGCCATTCTGCAGGCCTGTGGAGAACGGACAGAAACAACCGGAAATGAAAATGTGGGACTCGGATGGGGCAGTGGTTAAAAAAAGATGACTGATGGCAATTGATCAAAACATTACTTTGTCTTTAAAATGGGATGAAATAAGCAGAAAAAACTATTTTCCAGAAACAAAGATGAAGCTGTCCTCACATTCTGAAGATGTAATAATAATAATAATAATAATAATAATAAGCAAACATTTGGCAGGTTTGCATGGGAAATGACTTCAAGAATTGTATTATTTAAAAAACGATTGTCTATTAATCTGCTATGCCCCAGGATTGGCTAGTTAAAAAAATGTACATAAAGAGTCTCCTGGTTTCAGATTTATTTTAATTATCTGACTAAACTAATAATAAGAAGACTATGTTTGGTCAGTTATCCATTGGGTTTGTGTTCTGTTTTAGTTATAGTGCAGTTGCTATGCAGTCATAACTCATAAACAAAACTATAAGTCATAAACAAAATGTAACCTGAAGTAAACTGGGACGTAAATAGTGTTAACATTGGATAGTCTAATAAACATTATTATAAACTGATATGAGCTGGGAAATAGACCCGTGTCAGATCGCGGCGGTTCAATAACATAATGTCCTGCTGGTTGTTACCTCAGAATTCACTGTTTACAGCGAGAAGCACAAGGACGCGGCGACGTGCGGCTTCTCTCAAAAGCAAACAGCGTCTTTATTGAATGTTGTGTTAGCACATCGTTTTCACAGTGTGTCCTCGAAATGAAACTTAGCACCTGCTGACACTTGAAGGTGGTTTAATCTTTGACTAAACTACTAAACCTAACAAAGTAGCGTTAGTTCTTTGGCCTAAACATTTTTTCTGGCAGAAAGACCCGAAGGCGAACTTTATGCAAACCTTGTGATGAAAGAAGGCTGATGTAACGTTCAGTTAATGAACAACTGAGAAGCTACTGCTAGCTAAAGTTAGCTTACATAATCGGATCAAATCACACAGCGAGTGTTAGCTAGCAGACGGAGTAGCTAAAGTCAGGCAGCTCTACAAGCAGCGCTCACGGTCGAATGTCTCCTGCTTTCGTCATCCTTTTCTTCATTAAGGCTTCACATCTTAATTACCTGCCAATGACAAAACTCTCGCTGCTAGCTAAAAGTCGACAAACTCTCGGCCGTCAAGCGGTTTAAATACAACACATGCCACCTTTAAGCGATACAGCATCACGACAAAACATTACTTAAACATGTTCATTACAAATAACAATAAAAAATGGACATTTGGAGCCCGTACGCACAGTAAAGAGTGGCACCTCTGTGGTTTGACAGCTGACTGGTGTGTAACCGCAAAAAGGCTCCGTGTATGTTCAAGCGCCACAGTGAAGCGTTCCGTCCGTCGTGGAAATCTTCACAATTAAAATGACTAAAAGTTTGGTGCAAATCAATCGTCATCAAAAATCAACTGTTCATTAACATCCTACTCTTTGACCTAAGTCGATCCTGGTACGACCACCTATCATATAAGTGTCATTAAAATGCCACTTTCACGTGATCACTGATCACTGCCTCACTCTCTGTGTGGAGTTTCTGGCAGGTGACCCCTCCCTCAAACGAAACTTGAGTCTTATTATAGGTTTTTAATAGATCAAAAACTGGTAACCAAAAATGGCCAACCGGCAAAACCCAGGCTTGTGTGAGGGATTTACATGTATATTGATTTAATTCATGTTGTGCGGTCTGAGGCTTGTTTAGCGCTTGTTCTGGTACATGGGCACAAGAAGAGGTACGACATTTGCAATGCATCATTGCTTCTGCCTTACATTTCTTGTTCCGCCAGTTACCCCTGACCTGCAGGAATGTAAGATGGTTACTTTATGGCTTCAATTACCTCTTGCTTTCCATGTACTGGGTTGAGGCTCTGGGACCTGTAAAATATTTATAGATTCTATCGCACAAAGACCCTCTATTGTCTTTAATACCCCATTGCTTTACATGATATGATAAGCTGTGATAAAGCATTTGATCAGACATCAACAGACATGTGGATCTAGTGTTACACTTTACCATTTCAGCTATATCATCACTGCTCACACGTGAGCGGATAATCAGTGAGTAAAGTTCAATGTGAGAGCTGCAGCGGTTGCATAATAGCTGTAAGAACGTTGGATAATGACCCCATTTAATGCCACTAATCAATTATAATAAGTTACTTAATGACTCTGACACCAATACCCGATATACATACATTATGGTTTTACGTATACTAAACTATGCACTTGCCATGCTGCTCTGAATCATTATTCGAAGTAAACAAGGGAGACCTACCTCTACGAGTCAAGGCAATCACCAGAGTGTCTCTGAAGTGAGCTTGGATGGAGGCAGCACCAGGATTTAAATGTTTACTAAGCACAAGTGTTATCACATCGACCGTGGAACTGCAGTGAGTGGCCATGGAGCCGTCCCTTACTGGGTTTCTGGTCGAGTGTTACAAATGGCGTGTCATTTGGAGGACAGTTGACCAACAGAATGACCAACTAGTGATAGTCTTCATGTTAAAACATTTTTTTTTAATACATATAAATACATACATATTGTTTTCACATGTTCGTTGGATGCTCATATTTCTCATAATCATCAGCATAAATTCATGGTTAACAGTTTAGGACCTTGACAGCGATCAACCAACAACAATGACCACAATCTCTTTTTGAGTTAGTTCATTAGGTCCCAGAAATGAGCCAATCGTGCATATTGGACGTAGGTGGGATCTCTGAATGTTTTTTTCTTTCAGCCTGCAGCGGGGTAGACAGCCGGTCCTGCCTGGAGACAGGGCTGACCCCGAGCTCCATTGCATAATATGATGTAAGGATACCTACGTGCAGTTTCTTCCCTGCTCTCTGAACACGGCATTGTTCCCCAGCCCACAGCCTGCATTGTGCCTGCACAGGGAACAAAAAGCCCAGCTGAAACCAGGAGGCATGGCGGTACAAAAAAAGAAAAACATTGGTTCTGGATTGACCTCGCAGACGTAGATGTGGCGATAAGGCAGGCGCATTCAGCCATGACCTTGCTCCCAGAAGATAAGCAGATATTGTCAACACTATCGTTTTATCCACCCACTGCACATCTGGCCGAGCTCTCGCACCACGGGGAGGGAAATCAAAGCGGTCTCAGACGTGCCCTTGTGCACCGAAATAAGCCCATTGTGGCTGTCAAACGTAACCATTGGAGAAGAATCAGAGAGTAATAAGGCATCACTATCAGGGCCCTACTGACACGCCGCAGTGTGAAGCCCAATTATTCCCTGTCAACTAGGAACTAACTTCTGCCACAGTTGCATGAAGCGTGTCCAGATTAAAGGCTCATTCAGACGTGAATACTTCGTGTGACAGAAGGCACAAAAGCACATGAGGAGTAGGGGAAGTCCAACTCACAGGGCTTCACTTGCGTTCCCGATGTGTATCTCAGCTGTGGGCACTCGGTGTTCTTATCCACATAGACACAGATAGCGCTTGTGTTCAGGGCGTGTTGCCAAGGAAACGGAAACTGTTCAACGTATAATGGTGAAAAGCCGTTGACAGCAGTCTTTCTTGGAAGGCCAGGTTAACAGGTGCTGAGGCATCTCTGATCTGCCTTCATGCAACTTCCATCACAACTGTGATCCGTGCTTTCACCCTCAAGAACAGTACAGCGCATCGATGACCGCCTTGTCCCTTCTGTCAGGCAGGAAGGAGGAGGACTCGGACGCAGAGGGTTCAGCTGATATTGCTTTTTATTAATAACAAGAAAAAACTGAAAATCTCTCTTAACGAGGAAACAAAGGTCGCGATCAAAGTTCAAAAGGCAAAAACTCAAAATCTCTCTTAATGAGGGAAAAAAAGGTTGAGATCAAAATTCAAAAGGCAAAAACTCAAAATCTCTCTTAAACGAGGAAATGTAACAGGGATCAAAAGGACGTGACAAACGTTATCGGACTTGACTTGACTCGTGACGTGAGGGCTGGTGTGCAGGGCAAAACAACAAGACACACTGGCACAGGACAAGGGGCGACGCAGACTATAAGTACCCATGAGGGAGTTGTGGGAACAGGTGGACACAATCAGGAATCAGGGGAGACAATCAGACTGGTGACACATGAGGAAGGGCAAGGGACCTGAAACGAGAGGGAGTTAGTTTCCAAAATAAAACAGGAAGTCAAAAAACAACTGGAGACAGGACAAAAACGCAACTTGACATACAGGTGTGACATTACCCCCCCCTCAAGGCCGAATACCAGGCGGCCTTGGAATGTCCGGGTGTGCTCTATAAAAATCTCGAATGAGATCCGGGTCCACTATGAAGCTAGACGAGACCCATTGTCGTTCCTCTGGGCCGTAGCCCTCCCAGTCCACGAGGAACTGCCTGCCCCGTCCCCGCTTACGTACCGCCAGCAGTTTCCTCACCGTGTAGACCGGCCCCCCCTCGACCATTCGAGGGGGTGGGGGTGGCTTGGGGTTTGGCACCATTGCGCTCTCCTTCGCTGGTTTGATTTTGCTGACATGAAAAGTTGGGTGTACCCTCAGGGACCGGGGCAGACGGAGGCGCACAGCTGCTGGATTGATAATCCTCGAGATGGGGAACGGGCCGACAAAGCGAGGGGCCAGCTTTCGTGATTCGACCTGCAAGGGTAGGTCCTTGGCTGAGAGCCATACTCGCTGGCCGGGCTGGTACACTGGGGCCGGTCTCCTCCTGCGGTCCGCTGCTTTCTTCACTCTGTCCCCTTGTCTGATCAGCGTCTGGCGTGCCGCTGCCCAGATGCGGCGGCAGCGGCGGACCAAGGCCTGGGCGGAGGGCACAGTCACCTCTGGTTCGGACTCGGAAAACACAGGGGGTTGGTAACCAAAAACGCAATGGAAGGGAGACATGCCAGTGGCGGAGGTGGGAAGGGAGTTATGGGCGTACTCTACCCACGTCAGGTGTTCGCTCCATGACGCAGGGCTCTGGGCCACCAGGCACCGGAGGCTGGTTTCCAGTTGTTGATTGAGGCGCTCCGTCTGTCCGTTGGCCTCGGGATGGTACCCCGATGTGAGGCTAGCTGTGGCTCCGATGAGCTTACAGAACTCCTGCCAGAACCGCGAGACAAACTGGGGCCCCCTATCGGACACAATGTCTCTGGGGAACCCGTGGATCCTAAACACGTTGTTCATCATGCAGATAGCGGTCTCTTTAGCGGTGGGCAGCTTGGGTAGGGCTAGGAAGTGTGCCATCTTTGAAAATCTATCCACCACGGTCAACACCGTGGTGTTCCCCTTGGAGGTCGGTAGCCCCGTGACAAAATCCATCGAGATCTCTGCCCACGGCCGGGACGGGATGGGCAGCGGCTGTAGCAAGCCTGCGCGGGCTCTGGAGGAGTTCTTGTTCCTGGCGCAGACGGAGCATGCCTCAACGTACTCCCTGACCTCCGGCTCCATGGACGGCCACCAGAACCTCTGCGTGATGGCGAACATGGTCCGACGTACGCCCGGATGGCAGGTGAGCAAAGACGAGTGAGCCCAGTGGATCACCTGTGGGCGCAGATTAATAGGGACAAACAGACGATTATCTGGGCACCCACGAGGTGGGGGGGTCTCACCGTTGGCCTGCTTCACCTTGGTCTCTATAGGCCAGGTAACCGCTCCAACCACACAGTGTAGTGGGAGGATGGGCTCAGGTTCCCTGGCCACGGGCTCCGGGCTGAAAAGACGGGATAAGGCGTCAGGCTTGGTATTTCTTGATCCCGGTCTGTAGGAAAGGGAAAAATCAAAACGGTTAAAAAACAAGGACCAGCGGGCTTGACGGGAATTCAAACGCTTGGCCTTCTTGATGTACTGCAGGTTCTTGTGGTCTGTCCAAACCAAAAAAGGGTGCTGTGCCCCCTCGAGCCAGTGCCGCCACTCCTCCAGCGCCGCCTTCACTGCCAGCAGCTCACGATCTCCCACGTCGTAGTTCCGCTCCGCTGCAGTCAGTCGTCGCGACAGGAAGGCACAAGGATGAAGCTTGTTGTCAGACTCTGCTCGCTGGGAGAGAATGGCCCCGATCCCATTATTGGAGGCGTCCACCTCCACCACAAACTGGCGAGCCGGATCAGGGAGCGTGAGGATGGGTGCTGTAGTGAAGCGCCGCTTAAGCTCCTGGAAGGCTGCGTCTGCCTCGGCGGACCAGTGAAACGCCACCTGCGGGGAGGTAAGAGCATGGAGCGGGGCTGCTGTCGCGCTGAAGCCTCTGATAAACCGCCTGTAAAAGTTAGCAAAACCGAGAAATTG